GTTGGCCCCGTGGGCCGATCCTGGCGATGCTCCCAGCCCCGCGGGAGGAGCGAGGGCAGCGCAGGACCAAAGCACAGATAGAGACGGGGCCGAATGCCCGCGGGGACAAGGGGGACAAGCAGCACCCGGCTGTGGCCCCAGGGAACCCGCCTGCCATCCCCCATCAGCTTGAGATGCAGAAGAGGATGAGCCAGGGCCCAATCCTGCCCCAAAGGGGTCCCTATAAGGTCCCCTGCATCGCTTGGAACCTGGCTCTGCTCTGCTGCTCCCCCTCCAACGCTGTTTCCCCCCCTTTCACCAGCCCAAGGAAGAGAAACAACACGTATGGGCTGCTCAGAGAGCTGTTTCACACCCAGGTTTATGTCCTGGATACAAACAACTTGCGTATCCGCAATATAGAGATCTCTATCTATGTACATATATATGTATTTTTTTTTTTTAATTCCATGGCTTTAAGTTCCACACAGTTGAAGAGGCTCCAGAGGAGGAAGAACAAAGTGGGAGGAAACGAAATAGAGGAGGAACAACTCAGGGCTGCTTTGGTTATTTCCTTACTGCTCAGGTTTGCCATCAGGGTTTCTATGCTTTGGAGGAGTTACGAGCCACCCTCGGGGGCCGGTAAGGCTGTGGATAAATCCAGGAGAAGCCAACACCAGAGAGCAGCGAATACTGGAGGTCCCCCCCCTGCAGAGTGCAATTAGACGGGGCAATTAATACTGCAGCGGGGCAAGGGGGGCATGGAGGAGCGGAGGGGGTTGGCCTCCGGGGATCCCGTGCCAGGAGGAGTGCTCCACCACACCTGGGGGGGGGGGGGAGGTCTGGCACCTCTTAACCAGGTGAGGAGGGGAAATTTGGGTACGAAGGGAGTCGATAGGATCCAGTAAACACCAGGAGATGACTGGTAATGGCTTGGGGCGAGGAGGAACCTGTCCACCCCAGGGACATGGGCGGAATGTTGTGCCCTGGAAGCAGAAGCAGAGGATGGAGGTGGAAGGCAAGGGCAGGTCCTCCTCCCCGCAGAGGGATGCGGTCGCTGTGCCTGTGCCCTGGGCAAGTGGGTGGAGATGGGCACACAAGGGGTTTTTCCCAACCTTTCCAAAAGGTTTCCTGTCCCTCACGTCATGTTTTCTCAGAGAATAAAGTCTCACGGGACAATTAACTCCGTCGCGAGGCTCAGCAGCTGAGCCAGGGGCTGCCCTCCCGGGCAGGCTGTGGAGGGCAAGCCGGGGAGCCTGGGCAAGCACAAATTTCTCGGATTAAATTTCCAGTGGCCACCCAAAGAGGGAAGGAGGCCTCGAGCGTCAGGTTCAAGGCAACGGCACGCAGCTCCTGGCACGGTCGGGCAGGTGAGGGGGATGAAGGCAGGAGGAAGCGTGTGCAGGGCCCAGCCCGCAGGGAGCCGGCGTCTGGTCTTTTAGGAATTGCTGTTGTGAAGTCAAAAGGGAAACAGGGGGAAACACCCCCCCCAACAACAACAACAACAAAAAAATCACTGTTAGTGTTGGCAAACACCCGCGCTGGGTAGATGTCCGAGCTGCATAGAGAAGGCTTCATCTCAACATGGCAGAGGAAGGAGAAGGGGGGGGGACACCTAGAGAAAGTGCTTTAATCGCTGGGGAGAAAGGAGCTGGGAGAGGAAAGGCAGGAAAGCAACCCAGGAGTGGGGCTGAGCGAGCAGTGCCGATGAGCGTGGGGTACAGGAGGTGACCCTACCCCACCCCCCCCACC